CCCAGCTGCCCACACATACTCAACATACAGAGGGCGACGTTGTTTCGTGAAAGGACAAGTCAAGAGGTAATTGCGTTGCTGCAAGCTATAAGAGCCCCAGCTTCTTCCAGGAGACTCTGTCATATATCACTGGCTTCTTGGGGTGTTACATGAAACAAATGCTCATTGATGCAGCCAACTCCTGTGAAATCCCGGGGGAAGACTGCTTAATGCTACACTGCCATTGGGGATTTTTTTTTTCCAGTGTTTTGACTGACATGAATAGGTGATGAATGTTGGATTTGCTATTATTAGAGGTCATTCTTAGTGTAGCTTATCCAGTTAAATTATTAATTCCCTGGACACAGAAAGTAACTGTCAGCCCTCTTAAATCCCACCTCACTCAGTCCAAAAATTACACATGTAACAGGTCCCTTCAACACAGATTAGTACAGTAATGAAATACTTTTCAAACTTAGAGCTTGTGAGGAAAGGTATCCAAATGCCATTTGGAGATCATTTGTATTTGTCCTTTGCACATTGTCTCCTGTTCACCCTGTGTCTACAAGCACATGGAGCCTAGTTCCAGTTCATGCATGGTCCTTGGTTGATGCTTCAGTCTCAGCAAATCCCTCTGGACCCTGGTTAATTGGCACTCTTGATCTCCTTATGGAGCTCCTGTCCACTCTGTGTCCTTTTTCTCTTTCCTTCCACTTCTCCACAAGACTCCCTAAGCATAGCCCAATGTTTGTTTGTGAGTCTCAGTGTGTTTTGAGGTGGTCCTGGGGAGAGCCTCAGGAAGGACAACTCTGATGGGCTCCTGTCAGTAAGCTTAGCAGAGCATCATTCATAGTGTCAGGAGCTGGCACTCTGATGGGGTGGGTCTTTGGTTGGGCCAGGCATTGGTTGGGCTTTCCCTCAGTCTCTGCTCTATCTACTCTATCTTTACCCCTGCACATCTTGTAGGCAGGGTAAATTTTGGGTCAAAGTTTTTGTGGGTAGGTTGGTGTTCCCCTCCCTCTGCTAGAAGACTAATCTAGTTAGATTAGTCCTCTTCAGTCTCTATGGTCTCTGCTACTAGGAATCTCTGTTGGAGCCCCCCTCGTATCCTCCCAGGAGCCTACCATGACTTAGGTCTCCAGCTTGTCACAGAGATATCCCCACCTTCAGTTTCTCTTTTCTCTATAGGACTGTCCTCAGGCCCCCTCACTCTCCAGGTCTGGTCTCCACCCTCCTGTCTGCGCCCCTCTCCTACATTGTTCCTTCTCTTCAGCCACTACCTCTGTCTATTCTAGCTCCCCTTCTGAGTGAGATTTATGCATCCTCCCTTGGATCCTCCATGTTACTTATCTTCTTTGGGTCTGTGCCTTGTGCTATGCTTATCCTGTAATATATGGCACAAATCCATTTATAGGTGAGTAAATACCATGTGTGTCTCCCCGGGTCTTGGTTACCTCATTCAGGATGATCTTTTCTAGTTCCATCCATTTGCTGGCAAGTTTCATGATTTCTTTCTTTTTGATAGATGAGTAGTATTCATTGTGTAAATGCACCACAATTTCTTTATCCAATCTTTGGTTGAGAAACATCTAGGTTGTTTCCAGATTCTGGCTATTGTGAATAAAGCTGCTATGAACATAGTTGAGCAAGTATCCTTGTTGTATGGTGGAGGTCTTTGGAGAGGTACAGCTGGGTCTTGAGGTAGAACTACTCCCAATTTTAAGAAAACACCAGATTGATTTCAAAAGTGGTTGAACAAGTTTACATTCCCACCAGCAATGGAGGGGTGTTCCCTTTTCTCCACACCCTTGCCAGCATGTGCTGTCTCTTGGGATTTTGATCTTACACATTCTGACAGGTGTAAGATGGAATCTTAGAGTCATTTTGATTTGCATTTCCTGATGACTAAGGAAGCTGAACATTTCTTTGAGTGCTTCTTGGCCACTCAAGATTCCTCTGTTGAGATTCTCTGTTTAGTTCTGTGCTCCATTTTTTTATTGGTTTAACCTCATTCTTATACACCTAGAGAAGTGCTTCTCAACCTGTGGGTCACGACCTCTAGAGGTTGACCAATTCTTTCATAAGACCTAAGACCATATAGAAACATTGCAATATGGTTTACAACAGCAAAATTACAGTTATGGAGTAGCAATGAAAATAATGTCATGGTTAGGGGTCAGTACAACATGGGGAACTATATTGAAGGGTAGCAGTATTAGGGAGATTAAGAACCATTGACCTAGAGAAACCCCTTCCCCATCATAAGCTAAAGTTCCCCAAGCCACTGTCATACATCATATGGACATTTCCAGAAATGAACAAACTTAGAAATCTAAATCAGGATTGAGTCCTTTCTACTCCACTATCCTCTACAGCTGGATCTGACCAGAACCTACTAACTCATGGAGAAAGGCAGTAGGAGTGGGTGTCTTTCCTACTCTTCTCCACCACACAGATCCTCCTGCTCCATGCCACATGCGTACAGAGCATGGAGAACAAGGAACGGCAGGAAGGCCTTGCTTGATTGGAGTCATTGTAGTCTGCTATTGAGAATGAACAGAGCCAGGTGTTAGTTCGCCTGCAGTTTCCTTGCAAAACTCTAAATACCATTTAATCTGAGTGGGACTCATACACTACACCCACCAGATAGGTCCTCCAAGTAGCCTCTGCCAAAATAACCAATCAAATAATTTTTAGGCTTCATTACAGCAGACAGAAAAAAAAGGCATCCTTCATCCTCTACGCCACTTCCAAACCTTTCTTCTTTATTTACCTCAGAGATGCCCTCACTATATTTGTCTTTTAGCAAGTGCCCCCTTGGTATCTCCTCAGGCACCTTGGGCATGGTGAGATGGATAACACTCTTCAGGGAGAAGGGGTCACTTGCCATTGCAGGTAGTAACCAGAGCTAGAGATGTTCTCCTGAAAGTGACAACAAAAATATCCCCTAGAGGGCAGAAGTTCTCTAGGGTTGGAAACCATGTAGACTGTCCCAGGAAAGTGCTGACCAAAACTGTCATTGTTTTCCGAATTCCTGGAGACATCTGCAGTGCCCTGAGCCCTTGGCCTCAGGCTCTTCCTTCATCTTCACTCACTCACCTTTTATTTGTAGGTTGAAAGTGGGGAATGAACAAGAGGGAGGATCCTATACAAGAGGTTATGTCCCTTTTATAACATGGAGGTGTTTGAACACTCATTGCAAGAGAAGATACTTTCACTTTGTTCGTGATTAGGTTCAAGGACATTAAAAGTAATTGAAAAAAACCAAACATGACTCTGGGGGGAAATGCACCAACTAAGAAAGCATCTCATGCTTACGGATCTTAGGACAGTTACATTTTGAGGAAGGACCCAAAGGGAAAAGGCTTTCTAGAGGAGATATATGTCCTCTTAGGTGGCTGTGGTTTCAACTTGTGAGTGCTTGAATGATTCTGACACCATCCTGGTCTTCTCTTTGTTGGAATAAACAGATCAAATAAGCAATGGCAAGAAAGGAGAATAACAAGGACATGACTCATTTGTATTCCTTTTAGTCCACATTAACCACCTCTGCACAGGGATTTACATATATAAATGTTTATAATAAACAGATGTCTTGATTCTATTTCAAGATAGTAATTCTAAACCAATAGAGAAAGAACAAGGCATATAATTTAATAATATTTTATTGTCAATAGCACAGAAAGAGGTCACCATTGAACCTTTGGAAGAAAAAGAACCTTATTTACAATAAATGGCAAGAAATTTGATAAGGGAAGACATATAAGAAAAGCTTCCACAAATACTTCCTTTTTGGTAGTGAATTTAAAAATTAGGTTGTTGCAACATAGCTAACTTATCAGAACCATTTTATAAATTATTTGTGTAGATTACAAACTGCTATCTGAAAAAGCTAGATTTTTAAATGGAAAAAAATATATGCCGAAGCATTGTGGGTGCTGAAATAGTTTTGTTTGTGTTTTCTGAAGGTTTGGGATCCTTCCCTTTCCCACTGTTACATTAGACAACGAGGAAAGGTCCTTCATTGACCACAAAACTCTTATCATCATGAGAATCCCTGTAGATGTTAAGTTGACGTTGGAGGTGTTAGGAACCTTGTAATCTGGTTAGAAGCCCTGCCAGCAACAGCATCACCCAAATGACCAGGTAGAACTGCCAGGAAAAATATGAAAACCAATTTTTGTAAAAGCTGAGCTTTCCCCTAGAGTCTTGGTCTTCAATTAAAATGGCCCAGAATTCTTTATCCAACACTTCAAGAGTGAGAATGTTCTGCAAATTGTTTCCATAAACTGACAAATTACTCATTTTTCAGAAAAATTTGATTACTTGTGAACTATCTTTATGTACCCATTTTGTGTGAATAATCTATATTTACAGAAGAAATACTAAGGTTTTGTCTTATAGGGTAATATTCCAGAACCTATATGTGGAGTTTTTAATATATAGTATTTACAACATGTCGTCTTTCTAACGTCTCCTCTTAAGATCTTGAAAATAAAAATAAAAATAAAACTGCTTCTCAGGCTTTAACATGAAGACATGTGGACTTACAGCATTGTGCCATGTACACAAATTTCACTGGAAAAGGGTAATTTTGTGGGCCTTATACTCTAGAGTGCGTTAAGGCTTTAAAAGAGTAAAAATGTCTAGGACATTCTTTATCTCAGTGAAGGCAAAGTCCTGAGAATAATGTCCTCCACATCAACTTTTCAGGAATTCCTCTCTTGAAGACTGCATTTTTGTCCATAGCTCCAGATGCTTTGACAAATAAAGAACACATATTTTCTAATGTGGCTTCCCTTTCATTACAAGTATGTGCTATTTGTTTTGACAAAGGAAAACAAAGAGGGATTGGAAAAGAAGTGTCTGTTAGTGTGAAGGCTACATATGACAAGTATCAACTGCTTCCTGATTCAGCAAAATTAACAATTTATTGTTTAGACAGTGATTGTCTGGATAAAAAGTTTACAGAGATATGCAACTACAGACAAGTTACCTGACACTTGGCAAGGCCCTGCCATTTAAGGAGAACAGAATTTGCCAAAGAAAATGATGTTTCGTGTTTTGTTGTGTCTAATGAGATAAATAAATGGGTGGTCAGCATTGAATTCATCCTTGTGCTGTAAGATTCGGGATCCTGGCACCTCGATGGACTCTCCACCGTCTTCAGTTATTTCTAGGCACACTCTATGAATCACATTTGATAGGGACACTCCCTTGGTCTCTGACATTCCAGAGAAATCAGATGTGTTTTCATCGAAGAGATTTTTTAGCCCAAGGCTTTCGAGACTAGCCTTGGGATCAATGGTCTTTTCCACCTTGAACTTCGGGAGCGAGAGCTTGACTTTGGCATTGGCCATGGTGCTGGGATTGGTCCACTGCAACAGGGTGTCAGGATTGAGTTGCTTTTCAATCTGAAGGATGAAAGGAAAAGCACTTAATTTTATTTACTTCTCTTCTGATTGTTAAAAAAAAAAAAAACTACCTTGATTAAAAATTAGAAAGTGTTAATTTAGGTCCAGTTCTAAAGAACCTAAATCAGTCTTAATCTGAAGATACATCAGTACTGAGACAACATCCTCATATGAGATCTCCCAGCCACCCCGGTTTCACTTTCCCACCCTGCAAGAAGGCTTTCTTCTCAGTAACATTTATGAGAACATGGTTTTTAGCTCTCAAGTCATAAAGTAGTTTTTCAGAAACAGACATGTAGCTTGTGATGTCACATATGCAAGAGTGAAGTGAATGTAAAATTAGAAGCTTTCATACAGCTCTCCTTCCTGTTTGCTATAATTTCTCTACAAAGGAGCTCATATTGTGCATGATCTAGGCATACCATCAAAGTTAATTAAAAGCTATTCTTTCTCTTTTTTTATAATGGGAACTTCAACTAGCTATGATTCACTCTTTAAGGTCACAAATGATAAGTGCAACTACTTCAACTGGTTTAAAAGATAGATGTGCAACTAAGCATAAAATAACTTAGTCATAAAACTCTTCATGGAGCAAATGGAATTAAATTGCTCCTTGACCTTCCCACAAATGCCACCGAGAATGATAGTCGCTAACTGCTGCTGCTAACACAGAACCGTACTGTACACCTGTTATCGCGCTGGTGCAAATGAAAGCTGAAGGGCAAGGTAATCACAAACCGCTGCAAGCACATTTTTTAAAATGGGGAAGGAACAATTTATTCTTTTATTAAACTACAACAATTACTTTTCAATCAATATTCTCACTTTTGCTTGGTACATATCACTAGGATCAAAGTAATCATTATAGTTAACTAGTTCTTCAACTGATGGAATGTCTGTTCCCCACTTGAGCATAGATCAAGAACCCATTTTCCAGTGGGATCAATTTTTTGGTCTTCAGATCATTGATTTATCATATAGCCATGGATTGCCCACACTCTGGCTCCCTTCCTCCCTGGTAAACAAGAACATGGTAGTAATTTCTAATTCATAAGGAAGTTATAAAAACTAAATAAGAAAGCTATTTGAAGAATTTAATAGACATTTTGGCCCATTGTAAATGACAAGTAAATATTGGCTGTTTTTCACTTTAAAGAATAAAAGACACAGAATGGACCTCAAAACCTTTGAAGATGACTGAACTGAGGTGTTGAGGCAGGGCTTTGGTGAGTTCCTCTGAACCCTACAGGGCCCTATCCTCACACTGCCTTTACTATATTGGGGTTCTCTTGTGTAAGTGCCCAGCTGCCTGCTGACCTTCTCCAGGCCCGTGGACTCATCCTCCACATCCTTGGGGAGCACGATGAGCATGCTGAGGTGCTTGTTCTGGAAAGGAAGCTCTATGATCTTAGAGTTGATGTCATCAATGTTGCCCAAACAGAATGTAGCCTCGAGATTCATCATTTGTACTGGTCTGGTATCTGTCTGTTAAAAAGGAAATTTTTGAAAGGGTTAATTTTCAATTTATAAAATAATACATAAGTACACACACATATAAAAATACATATATACAAACATAGATATGGATTTAGGTGATAAAGAGACAGATACATAAATAAAGATAGAAATGATGATAAAGACAGGCATACACAAACTTCTCTTGTGGTTTTGGAGAATTATGTATGGCACATGCAGGAGAATCCACACTGTCTGCATCCTGGGACGCTCTTATGAGGGAAAGAGCATGAAAGGGAGGGGGAGAGAAAATGTATAAAATTATTTTCAAACTATCTTTCTAAGATCTATATGAAACATAAGAAAATTTCTCAGTTAGATTTGGGTTCAACACCCATCAAATGAATAGAAATATTACAAAATCTGAAAAAAAAATCTAAAAATTCAAAACCACTTCTGGTCTCACACTGTTAGATAAAAGGTGCAAAACTTGTAGATCTGAAGATAATTTTTCAGAATAGGCATTACGTTAAGCTCCTACTATAACTTCATCATCGTAGTCCAGCCTCTAAGGGAGACACCGACGGACATCTGAAACTGTCAGCACTATCACTCAAAACACGGACTGATTGGCAAATGTGGTTCAAATGACACAGCAAAGAAATAATACATCCTGTATTTAGAAGTGTTTTCCCATGCAGGTCAGATTCAGGTTTAATGGCTTATTAGGTAGACACTGAAATACCATGACATCAAACCCCAATAATTCTGTTCAGGGTCTAGGCTGCCAGGCTCTGATGTTACCTCGCTTTATGATTTAATACCTAGAATAAAGGAATAGCACATTTCTGCCTTTCCTTTCAGAAACATGCTTTAGCACTTTTGCAAATACAGAAACTACAAATCTTAACATGATCAGAGTCCAAGTTCCACCAACTGACACTCCATAAAGTGATCCTGGGGATTTCGTAAGAGACACCATCAGCCACATGTTGCCAGCCCTTCCCAGAGAGGAACATCAACCATCAATCAAGCTTAGCTTTCTCATCTTGACATGTCTAGTAGCAGGATGATCCTGACCCCTGGAAAAACAGAGGCTGTAAAATACATGCTGCCCCAGCCCTTAATGAAAGACAACACTAAGAATGTCCAGAGCCACGTAAAATCCTGTGTGTGCACAAGGCAGTGTCTGAAGTGTCTAATGTGTGTGGCAGTTGTCACAGACATGAGTCTTGTGTGCAGCCAGTCCTGCCCTGACCAGCCAGTTAGTCCACTGCAGTCAAGAGACTCAGGGAAAGAAAGTAGGAGGATCATCTGCCCCCAACCCAGCACCCTGTGAGATTTCGAATCTATTAGGAACAATAACAGCATTTTTCCCTCCCCAAGAGACTGTAGAGTCGTGGACTGTTGTGTTTATCTGACACTGACTTTTGGGATGAGGCTGTGGCTCAGTTTGTCGAATACGTGCCTAGCATGCAAAGCTCGGGCTTGAATCCCCAGCAATACATAAACCAAGTGTGGTGGTGCACGCCTATAATCTCAGCATTAGCAAGGTAGGAACGGGAGAATCAGAGGGTCACAGTCATCTGGATATATGATAAAAGTCAGAGTCTACACAGTACTGTCTTAAAACATTTCTCAAGCTAACCTTTGAAAATTGATTGATTATTCACCAAAAAAAAAAAAAAAAATTGCAGAGCGCTTAGCTGTAAGACACTGAGATAAAAAAGACAAGGTCCCTGCCCTTCTAAAGTCCATGCATTAATGGAGGAACTAGGAAAGCAAATTTGTCTTAAGAAAATTACCTTTGGGGTGAGTGGAGTATGAGCACAAAATCCTTGGGAATGAGAAAATATAGGAAACCACTCCAGCTAACCCAGACCAAGTTGGTATTGGAAGGGATTTTCCTCTTGGGTTCTAGCTTTAGGAACTTGAGACTAGACAGGTTATGGACGCAAGGGAAAGCCTACTACTATTATTCTGCTAAAGGAACATAGCAATAAAATGACTCCTAATGACATATTGCTATACTCACACATCAGGGCATTACTCAGCCATCATCTGAGAATTCTCATCTTGAAGTAGATGGTAATTAAGAAGGAAACCCACAGTTGGACAATCTGTAGAGAGTGAGAGCCTTCAGAGCACTCCGCCCTAAGTGTCTCTATCTAACCTCTCCCTTCAAGGTCAGAGGTCTATCCAGAAGAAGAGGCAGAAAGATTGTAAAAGCCAGAAGTAGTAGGTGACTCCAACAAGGTAGCATCTTCCAGACACAGCAGGTTCCCTGCTCGGGAGGAGTTGGCCAACACATAGGCTTTTTGTTTATTATTTCTTTTTTTTATTATTTTGGTTTGGTTTTAGTTGTTTGTGTGTTTGTTGTTTTTCTTGTTTGGTTGGGGTTTTTTTTATTTTTGACACAGAGAAAACATCATGAAGTTGGGTGGGGAGGAAGGTAGGAAGGTTGTACTAGGGTTAAGGAAGAAGAGAGAATATAATGAGAATAAATTTATTTTTTTTCTTTTTTTGTATTTTTTTATTAATTACAATTTATTTACTTTGTATCCCAGCAGTAGCCCCTTCCCTCATTTCTTCCCAATCTCACCCTCCCTCCCTCATCTCCTTCCTGCCCCTCTCTAAGTCCACTGAAAAGATGCTATTTGGTAAGGATCTGGGAGAAACAGAACACTGGGGGAAAAAAAGCGATGCATAACATCTACAAAGAAAGATAGCTTGAGTGTGGCAGCTGAAGTGTTAATTGCTTCAGGCCTGAGTTCTCTTTTGTTGTTATTACATTTATTCATGTGTGTGAGTATGCGCACATGTATGCAAGCACATGGCACATGTACACATGTGGAAGTCAGAACAACTTGCAAAAGTCTTTTCTCTTTTTCTTCCTTGTGGGTTTGTGGGAGCGAAGACAAGCTATGAGAGTTGGCAGTTAAGTTCCTTTACCTGCTGAGGCATCTTCCTGGCCCAGGCCTGAGTCCTCACACAAGTCACATCCTACCAGCCAAGACCAAATCACAGCCAGATGCCTGGGCTACGCTAAGTTCCCTCAAAACTTTTCCAATTCATAAGAAAGTTCTTTGGTTTAATTTATTTTACAAAAGGCTCTTTTGGTGCACCTGGTGCGGTGGCATACGCTTGTAATTCTGGCACTGGGGAGGGCAGAGGCAGATGGATCACTGTGAGCTCGAAGACAGCCTGGTCTACAAAGTGAGTCCAGGACAGCTAAGGCTACACAGAGAAATCCTGTCTCAAAAAAAGTCTCTTTATTTATGAATATTTGTTTTAATACATCCACCTCATAGTATAAATGAGACTGCCCTGAAAAACAAGGTAACTCTTCGTGTAATGATTCCCAGTAGCGTAGATGAGTAAAACTATACTTTTTTTCATCATAGTCAACCGTATTATAAATGCTTTAAGCTGGGCTACTCAGAAAGAAAGAAAGAAAGAAAGAAAGAAAGAAAGAAAGAAAGAAAGAAAGAAAGAAAGAAAGAAAGAAAGAAAGAAAGAAAGAAAGAAAGAAAGAAGAGAGAGAGAAAGAAAGAAAGAAAGAAAGAAAGAAAGAAAGAAAGAAAGAAAGAAAGAAAGAAAGAAAGAAAGAAAGGAGAGAAAGAAAGGAAGAAGGGAGAGAAAGAAAGAAGAGATGCGGGATGGGGATAAATGTATTATATTGTCAGGTAAGTAAGAAAATGAGATCAAAGTGAAGTTACTGAGTCAGAAACCCAATTCCTAAGTGGCCAACCCTTCCCAATAATCCAGAGGCCTCCACTTTGCTTTGTCTGCTTTCTTTTTTTTTTTTCCTTTATCCTCTGATTTCTGTACATCTTTATTTTTCCCACAGAGACCATTCCTCTGTTGTGTTCTAGTGACATGACTTGGAATCTACTTCCTACTTTATGCTGCACATACCTTGTTGACTCTGAACGGACATTCTTTTGTTTCTGACTCAGGAAATTTCTTCATCCACTTTCCAACAAAGTAGGCGGCATTGACAACAAGGATTTTCGTCTGGTCACTTATATTGTTCTCTGATAAAATGTTCTCAAAGCGGCCTGTAAATGATTATAGGAAACCACATTAGCAGTTATTCATCTAAATCTCCTGCGGCTGCTCGTTCAGCCCAGCAGTGTATCCCCCCATAGCCAGCAGTGACTGCCAGTCCTTCATAATTGCTTTCTGTTTCCCAACAGGCTCCCCATCTACAAACACCATAAACACATCTGTAGGAAAGGAGATCTAGTCACTGATTGCTCCAAACCATCTTAGTTCCAATTTTTTTCCTGGCAAGGAAGACATCTCATGGGGACTTTTAACAGGGGGAGGTGAAGGAAGGTCAGCGAGGGCCGAGAGGGCACCGTGGGAAGCAAGGATGGACTCTGCAACTCAGCAGCAGCCTGAATAGTTGTGGGGCTGAGGACAAACTTCCACTGTGATTGCTAGTTTTGGCTTTGTTCTAGATTTACATTTGCCTAAAACTCTTTGTCCCTTTTCATTTTTGATAAGGTTGTAAAAGTTTTTTTAGTTAGAAGTAGATTATTGGTTAGAAGTAGATCATCTTTCCATTTCCAGACTTAAAAGCCTGGCTTCATGATTTGCCAAAACCCACAGTATAAAAAGAACAGCTGGGCCTCTACCAGGGCGTGTGGTAACTTGTCAGTGAGCAGGGAAAAGCGCACTGACAGCAGTGCACCATTTGCCAAGCAATGGGCTGATACAGGGCTGCCCAGAAACTCAAGTTGTTGACAAGGCTTGACGAGCAAAGGATTTAGCGAGGTACTAAAATCATCTAAGGAAGCTTCCAGATGTCCAGCATTTTTAAGCTTGGAGCAAGGATTCTTAAGCAGGGAGAGCCTCTTGACTTGGCCGTGTATAGCAAGCATTACAGGGTGCTTACCATCTGTGAGCTCCTTAATGGAGCTGTTAATTTGACCTTTCGTTTCTTCCAGTTTATCTTTGAAGTCAACAGTTTCCAATTCATTTGCATATGGTCTTTTTATAGAACTGATAAATTCCTGCAAAACATCCAGTTCACAAAATCACAATGCTCTTTGGAAATGCACACGGAGCTAATGCAGAATTACACCGAGCTAAGAAACAGATTCATTAAATATCTATTACTATACATACATTTTGGAAATTGGTCAGACTACATGAAGCCTCATGTAGAAATAAGTATTTTCTTTGTATTAGACGTTTTGTTTCATCAATTATAAAGCATATCAATTATTAAATTATCAACTGGATATCAGCTTCATCAAAAACAAAAGAAATATTATATTAAATATATAATTATACTATGAATCCCAGTTATTTAAAAAATATTTCTTATATTAGTATATACTTAATGTAAGTATATAGTTGAGGGTTTAATCTAAAACATGCCTCAGCCACTTAGGGTTTGAACACTTAATTCTAAGCTTGTGACACTATTTTGAGACTTTCTATAAAATTTGGGAAACAGGGCCTAACTGGAGGAAATATGTCACTGGGATCCCTGAGGATAATATTATCTCCGGTTCCTGTCATTCTCTACTTCCTGGTACTTGGTGCTGTGAACAGCTATCTTCTACTACATGCTCCTACTGCTGTTTCTGCCCAAGAAAATGCTAAAAAGCAGCCATGGGGTAAACCCTGTGAAACTTGGATCCAAATAAATCTTTATTTCATTAAGTTGTTTCTGGATGGTATTTTATCACAGCAACAAAAACAAAAAACTGAATGCAACATATATTATAAATAAACAATGAAAAGGAAACCTTTATCCTCACTGAAATAAATGAATATTCTTTAGAATCCTGGCAATCAAAATGTGATCCAAAGATCAGGAATCAACCATTATCTAGGATATTGTTGGAATGAACTCTTAGGCCTCTTGACTGGTCCTTAGACTGGTCATCTTAGCAAGATTTCTCAGAGTTTCATCTGTGCATTCAAGTGTGAAACATAGGGCTGTAACAAAAACAGCAGCATGTCTGTGTCTAACTCTAACTCATGTTTAAACGCAAATCCTACCCCCTCCGATCTTGACGCAGGGGATCTGAGGCCACAGATTTAGGCTTTCAACAAATATTTGAATGGTTAGATTCAGGTCCCCAGAGCATATTTGTTTGTACTATTAACTAGTACATTTGCTAGTATTACACAGTAGGAGAAACAAGAAAAGACAGAGAAAGAGGAAGAGAAAGGAAGGAAAAGGGCAAGAGGAGGAAAGGAAGGAAGGGAGGAGAGGGGAGAGAGGAAAAAGGGAAAGGGGAAAGAGAAGAATGAAAAGGGGAAAGGAATGGAAGGAAAAGGAGAGAAGAGGAAATAAAAGGGAAAAGAAAGGAAGGGAGGGGTGGGAGAGGGAAGGAAAAGGAGGTAAGGGGAAAGGAGGAAAAGATAAATAAAAAAGGAAAAGAAAAGAAAGGCTTAAGCTCCTAGTTTGGTAGAAATAATTCTAACTGTGGGATGCAAGTCCAACCAATCTAACAGGACTTGAATGCCATGTCACTCGGTCTCTGAACTCCTTCACAGTAGCAACAGTCTTAGCCAATTAGCTTAGCTCCAGTTAATTGAAACTCAGCTTTGGACTGACTGAGATGGCCAGCACTACCTAAAAACATCAGAAAGACTGCAAGGTAAAGAGCCTCCACTGACACTGCCAAAGACAAAAGTCTTTAAGTATCACTCAGGGAGATTTTGAAATGTTTCCAGGACCAGCTTAAACTCACATCTCAATTTTCTTCAATTTCCCAAGTGACAACTGGAACAAAATTAGTTGTGCCTATGTGTCTTCAAGCCACAAGAGTTAATTCTCAACAATATCTAATAACTTAGCTCCCAAAGATCTTACACAAAAACAAATACTGAATGTAGAACATTGTCATGCATGGCTTAGCAATCTAGAAGCTTGAAATTCTGACCACAGAAACAGAAGCTGAGTCAGCCCTACATTACCAGAGAAGGAAATGTCCTATAATGAAGAATTTTGGTTATGTGTTTAAATAGAGATTTAAAAACTAGTATTCAAAAAAGAGGAAGGGGAGGGGAGCATGAGCCACCAAGTCCAACCTTTAATCCCAGCACTCAGGAGGCAGAGGCAATCAGATCGCTATGAGTCTGAGACCAGCCTGGTCTACAAAGAGAGTCCAGGACAGCAAGGACTAAACTCTGTAGTCTCACAAGAGTGGATCAAAATGTTTTGCATATGCCTGCTTCAAGAAATGACTTGGCTTAAATGACTACAGCAGCTTTGTCCAAATGTCCATCCTGGGAATACAACATCGATTCACATCTATTGGAAACTGATCATTTGTAGTGGTTATTTTCTTACTGATTCTAAAATATACCTGGGCCATTTTTTAAAAATGAACTGGGAAGTTGAAGACATCATCAGGCCATGTGTTCCACTGAATAAGGACGGGGCTTGTTGAAAGTTGTCTTGAGCCCCTTATGGAGATCCATTTATCAGACCGTTGGACCTTCCATTGGGGTCATGTTAACGCTTGATGGGCAAGGGGAACACACTTCTCTGTATTCTGAGCCAGATATGACTACATCCCCCAACATTCACCAGCTGCAGTAGCCTCATATCATAGCTGACACTGCAGAGAGGAAGTGCACTGGAACAAGGTGTGGGTCCAGCAGTGTGAAATGCCCCTCCTGGGGACAAGTCCCAGCCTGCTGTCATAAAAAACTTACTGTAGAAGGGTTCAGAGATTTGTCCACGTAGAGTCGCTTGATTAGTTTCAAAGAGTAAAAGGAACTGAGCTTGTTAACATCAGAAGTGACTGTTTGGAATCCAAAGGGTACATCTTTGACATTCTCAAAATGAAGGACCTGTTAAGAGAAAAAAAAATCCATTATTTAAAAAAAAATGTTTGGGGAATTAGAGAGTTAAAGTGCTTGCCCTGCAAGCACGAGGACCTGAATTGTATCACCAAATTCCATGATTTGAAAAAAATGCATCTGTAGGTCCTCAGTAAAGAATGAGATGTAGAAAGCATGTCCCTGATGTGCCAGGATTTGGGCTGGGTCCATCTTACTCAGTCTTATGCAGGTACGCAAAGCTACTGTGAGTTCATGAATATCCTGACCATGATAAGTCCAGAGGTTTGCAACTCACAGAACTCCTCTCATCCTCCATCTCTTACATTCCTCTGCCTCCTCTTGCACATTTCCTGAGCCTGGGTGTTGTGAGGGCAGGAGGGGCCAAGAAAGAGGTCGCATTTAGGACTAAGCACTCAGCCTCTTATTCTCGGAACGTTGACCAGTTATGCATCTCAGCATTGACTGCTGCCCGCTGCAATAGGGGCCTTCTCTAACCAGAACTGCAAGAATACACTGGTACCTTCCCCATGCCTTAGTGGATGGCTTTACACCTATAAACATATAGTCACCACTGATTGGGTTAAATGGATTATCAGAAAAAAAAAAAAAAAAAAAACATGAAGCTGGGAAAAAGTCATGTTGCAGGAGGATTTAAAGGGAGCTAGAGGGGTGAATGGGGATGGACATGACCAAGTTTCATCGAATACATATATTTATGTTCTCAATAATTAAGAAAAGTTAATATTGCTAAAGGACCAGGTGAGCTGGCAAAGACAAATAGGTCACATGCAGGGAAATAGCTTCCTGTGGTTGAGGCATGGACTCCATGCCCACTTCTGCTGCTTCAGTCCTTCTGGAAAAAGAGATGAGAAGTGAAGAGTGCAATCTGGGTTCACAGCACACAGAGATGAGGAGTTCACGTGGGAAAATGCAGCTCCTCTCCCCAGGACTGAACCAGTCACTTTTACCTCATTCCATTTCCCATCCTGACCAAGTTGATGTTTTATGAGTCATAATTTTAAGAATACTGGTCAAGGTGAACCAAATTTTAAATACTGATGGATTTGTAAAAAGAAAAGGTTTTTTTTTCCCTTTAAACTTTACATCAATCTGCATAAGGGAAAAAACAGAAATTGGAAGTGCACCTACCATCTAATAGCTTACGAGGTCTCAAAACAGCAAGCAATGAAGCCATCCAACTTGAGAGTAAGAAACTCTGAAACATCTATATACATATGTATGTGTTTGCATAGGAAACTTTACTTTAGTCCATGCCTCTCAAATCAAGCCCCCAGGGTTCCAAAACATATGTGCATGTGGTTTATTTTATTTATCTATCCTAGTTTGAAGACAGATCATTTAAAATGTTACTTCTGAGACTGCATATACTCTAGGGTAGAAGGTAATTGGGTTAGCATCTTAATATTAAGTTTGATGTTCTAAATAAATTTTGTTTAGAGGAGCAGTGCTTTGTTCTCTGAATGTAGGGCAGGGGGCAGGGGATCGCTTTTCCCCATTTACTAAGTAAACTACTAAGTCATCCTGATTGATCTTCAACTATGTCAGGTGAGAGATGTTGCATGCTGCGCTGACAGCCACAGGTGAATGAAACACCTGTCAGGTCCCAATGTTCTCCATCCCAATCTAGTACCTGTTCTAAATATAGGTTCTGCTACCAATAAATGAATGTCATTTCTTAGGAAAGATTAAAGGTGCTCTGTGAAATGATAGCTCTCTGTCCTGAATAGTTCCGGCCATACTTTTACTTTTACTTAGGCACTGACTATGAATTCCGATAGCTATCCCCATTCAACATCAAAACAAGGCATGGGCAGCTTACCTGTGCAATTTCATTTGCTGTGTCGCCTTTGGCACCTACTTGAGCAAGCGAGAGAGAAGTGGAGAGGCATATTGGAGAAAAGAGAACATTTCCTGCTGGCTCTTTTTCAGCTAGTTGTTTGAAGAAGTCAACAGCAAAAGCTGAATTTGCCAACCTTAGAGCGTCCATCGTAGGCCTAGAACCAAGCACAAGACCTAATGTATTCTGAGATCCATCCCACTACAGCAGTAAGAACTCTACTTCAATAAAGCAACAATCTTTCAGTAAATTCTGTTAGAAGCTTTGAGTGAATTCCAAAAGAAAAGCAGCCATGAACAAACCTCTCAAATGTCCTGAGGCATCTGGTGTCTTCCGTGTGTGCTGTTCTCCAGAGCATCATCACATTCTGCTCAGCCACCGCAGCCAGCATCAAGAGCCCAGCCAAGGTGTCACTTCCTCAGTAAGTGACCTGACCGACTGACGCATTAGTAAAACTCACTTCACTTTAAGATCGTATATTTCATATCTATTTTGGTTAATCACACACAATCACTATCTGTACATAAAAAAAAGCAATTGTAGCATCTGTGTGTGCTTCTTTTTAATATTTATTAAGTGTATAATTTTGTCCTCAAAAAAAAAA